AAGACTTAGAGGAACGCACCTAGTCCGGAGTCCATTGTATGCATGATCATTTCCAAAGTTGAACCATGGATGTGGTACTTTCCCAAACGTTTCGCCGGCATCGTAGTCGGCATCCTCAGTGAGTATCGCCATTCTTAGCACTACACAAAGACCACACCATCTTGGTCTTCATACCTTATTTACCACCACCAATTTTCTCCTATAGATTTATATTAACTTCTATAATTCTCGGCTTTAGAAAAACAAATTAACATAAAAATATGTTTTTAAGTATTTTTTTATTTCTGAAGCTAAGCAGTCCAACTAAAGCATAATTCGCCCAATGTTATTCCCTCACTAATTGAGCGATCAATCTTGGGAACTCTAGAACCAAAATCATAAAGCAAAATATAATGAAAATATCAAATATATTCTTACTTCACACTCTATAAGTTAGTCTTTATGCGCTATAATATTGTTAGAAACTTACCCTCAGCAAAAAATCTATAACATTTTAAACCTCATAAATCTTTAGGAAATATGAGAGAGCATACACTTCTGACCCTTAAAGAGAACATATGATCTAATTATAAAAGCATTTGTTCAAAAATCTAATTTAGAAGTGCTTGAGATAAAAATAATAAGGTTATATAAAGTCATTTCAGATGATAGTCACCGTTTGAATTCTTCTTTTCATTTCTTTAATAAAAGATTCTTTATCTTTTAATTGCCTTTGCATCTCTTTTATTCGTGCCACTTGCTTCTCTGATGATCCTTTTCCAGATTTCTCCATATCCTGTCTTAACTCTTCAACGATATTAGTAGTGCTCTCAAGATCTTGTGTTGCTTGTGCTAATTTTTCTTTTAGAGTATTTATCTAAAGGTTAATCAAAGATTATAGTAATACTTGAGAATCCCTCTCCTTGACAGTCTTTACCAGGGCTTGAATACTTGTCCTCTCGGAGTCAATACTGAGCTCATGCAAATCGTGTCTAAGTTTTCTATTCTCTTGGTAAAGTTTAACAATTTCTTCATCTCTTTCACCTAAAATCTTATATAGTGTCCAATAACGAAATTATTTCTACTTGTTTCCACTCCTCTACCTTCATGTTCAAAGCATTCATTATTTCATCATCAACATCAGAAGGTCTAGAAATTTGATCTGACAAATTTGCGATTTGAGCACGTAAAATATCACATTCTGAAGCCTTTTCAGTATATATCCTATCGGCTTCAGCTATTGCGTCCTTCATTCTTGTGTACTCTGAGGTGGCTCGCTCAATTTCTACACTTGCTTGCTTAAGGTTCGTCTCGAGTCGAGAAACATCTAGCCAAAGATGATTCTTTTCATCTTCAAGTGCCTGAAAGTAATAATAAAAGATTTTCTTACATCTATCTCTGCTTTCTTAACTCTTAATTGTGCTCTAAGATTAGATATTTCTTTTCGAAAATTTGCATCTTCAACAGCTTTGCCTGACATCGTGGCCCTTTCTTGCACGCGAGATTGCAAATATTCACACATTTCAGAGATTCTTTGGTTCTCTTCTGTCATGCTTTCAACTTTAAGCGCGAGTTGAGAGCGCTCTCCAGCTAAATTGTCCCGTTCTTTAACAGTTTGATCTATATATAATTTTAGCCCATCCATCTCCGACTCAAGTCTTTCTTTTTCTATATTCCACGCTCTTTTTTCCTGAATAATGTCTCTAGTGGCCCCAGATCCAGATGCAGCTTTTTGCAGCTCTGCATTTTCTGATTCTAACTCTTTATTTTGTTGAGTCAAACTGCGAATTTCTGATAATTTTTCATTAAATGTTTCTTGCATCACATTCCATTGCTCTGCTTTTAGGTTAAGAACTGCTTGTGTGAGATAGAAAATATGTTTAATGCGATCCAAGTCTTCCCAGCTGTCGATGTCAGCCTATATACAAATATTACAAATATATATTAACGCAGTATACTTACATCTCCTAGTAAATCACAATAAAAGTTAGCATTTTCAATATCTAAGGCAGCTTCAGTAACTTTAGAAATTCGATCCCAATCAAAAGCTGGCATCTTATTAGAAAATGTCACTAGTTTACACTAGTTACGCTTCCATAATGCGCAGTTAATAGTTAAAATTAATTAAAACAAAATTAATTTTTTTTTTAAATTAAAATTTAAATCTTAAAAATTATTTAAATTAAAGTTTAGTTTAGTTTTTATTGTTAGTTTTGAGTTGCGTTATTTTGGATGCTCAAGCATTCCGTCCGTTCTCACCTCTTGGTTTCGAAATCCTATTTGACTTCTTGCTT